CGGTCGGCCCCTTCCCCGCGCCCAGCTGCTCCTCCAACACATGCATCCAGAGCTCCACGCATTGATAGATCTGGTGATGCCGCAATCGACTGCTCAAAAATTCTTTGTGCTGCTGTTGCGCCCCTGCACCCCCTTCTCCCTGCCTCAGAGTGGCTGCCGCCCAGGCGTGGTTCCCTCCCCCACCCCCCTCCAACACCCTGTAGTACTTGCCCATCAATTGCAGGAGTGCGTGTGCGGTCGGAAAATCTCGGTCTACGACACAGGCGTCGCACACCGCGCTTGCCAACTGCATCAGCGCTTCAAAGCCCGTCGAATGCACCCGGAAATGTCCCGAGGTTCCCCCCCCAATCAAAAATTGATGCCGTTGGATCATCCGCTTGCTCCGGGGCTGGCTGAGGATGGCCAGGAAACGTGTTCGCACCCCTCGGGCTCGAAAAGCAATTTCCACCTCCCGAAAAAGCTCCTTGGAGGGTTTTTCCGTCGAGAACGCCTCCGCCAAACATCGGTTTAGCTTCGCCATGTCCCCCGAGAGGACTCCTGTTTGCGCCCCCGCCCCGTCTTTCTCCAGGCCATCGTCCTCCTTCCCAAGCCAGGACCCTTCCGTCGCTCTTCCTTCACGACATCCCTCTCCGCCTTTGCTGCCCTGCTCCCTTCCCCAGGAGGGAGGAACATCATCGAAGAAGCCGAAGATCGTGTGGCCCCGTGTCATGACCCGCTGCAGGTCAAAATTCAGTCCAAAAGCGCGGGCCACGTCGCGTACCGTCACGTCCATCATCCCCGCCGCTGCTTCCACGCTCCACCGACGAGCCTTCCGCCACGCCACCCCCGTGGCAGCATTTGTGGGCCCCTTTGCTTCGGCGGCCCCGCCTTGGTATCCTGAATCCAGATCCACGGTCCGTGCTGGGACGACGGAGGAATCCATGCTGTCACCTTCGTCCCCGCAAGTATAGCCGCCGGTGTGAGACGCGGCTGGGACATTCCGCCCATAGGTCGCGCCCGTGAGATTCATCGTTTTTCGCATCAATGCGTCCAGATCTGCCTCTCCAAAAGTGCCCTCGAGGCTGGAACGGGTCGGCGGGCTCCCCACGGCAAGACCTGGGAGATTCAGGGGTCGACGGGCCTTCTTGGCTTTCGCGCGCTTTTCCTTGTGCCTGTTGCTTTCCGCAGACACGACTGTAGACAAGCCCTCGGAGGCCGTAATCGTGTTTGCCATCCTATCACTGGACATGACCTCCGAGTCCCCTCTGTCTCCCTTGCTCTCGCCTGGGTTTTCGAGCTCTCCCAGGTTAAAACGCACGCTTGTTCTCTGCCGACCTGATACGTCCCTCTCCTCCGACACGCCCTCCCACCCTTCCGCTTTCTGGTCTTGATCACCATCGAAACGGAATTCCCGACGCCCGCCAGGAACGGCCTCTTCTCCTCTGGTAGTCGCCGGATCGCAATCCTCATCCACGCTCCCATCCGATTCCGATTCGTCCTCTTCCGTCTCCCCATAGAGGGGAGGAGGAGGGATCTTTAGCATCAATTTGACCTCGCATTCCTCCCCGCCCCTCCCTGCGCTCGGCCTCTGCTCCCACGCCTCGCCATGGGTTTCCCGGTGGCCCGCTCCAGGCGTCTCCAGCCACTCGTTTCCGCTCTCTTCTTCCTCCATCAAAATCCGAAAGTCCGCCGGGCATTTCTTCAGGGACGGGAACGAGGTAGAGGCGGCCGGAGAGGAGGTCGTTTCACCTGGGAGAGGGGAAGGAGGGCGGGAGGTCGCGCGACTGAAGGCTTGGAAAAGCGTCCGCCGAAAGAGGTTGATGGAAGGCCCGTCCTGGTTCTCCAGGAAGGCCTGAAAGCTTTGCGTGTCCAACAAGCGGGAGAGAAAGGCGTGGTCTTCCGCGGGCGCGTACTCGGCCAAGAAACGCGCTCGGTTGAAGATAGGACTGTTGGGGTCGATGTAGAAGACGCAGTCATGATACCCGGATAAAAGATAGGCCAAACATCGGAGGAACAGGCGCCGGAGCTCCTCCTCGGAAGCGGGAGAAATCTCGGAGGGGGCGGAGGTGGAGATGATAGGCAGGTCATCCAAGGAGACCCTCGAAGAGGCACTGTCAAGCCGCGTGAGCATTGGATAGACCGTGCCTCGGAGACGACGGAGGAGGGGGTAAAGGACCGAAGGAGGGAAGGAGGGAGGGTTGAAGGGGCGAGGGGGAAGACGGACTGCCCCACTGTCGCAATCGACGCAGACCACATCCTTTAAAGAGTCCCGGGGCACGTCGGCCAGCCACTCTGTGTGCACGCCTAGGATGTAGTTGGTGGGGGTCTCCACCACCACAAGAAGCTCCCGTGGGAGGGGGACCAAGTAGGGGTGCTGCCATTGGAGGGGGTAGATGAGGGAGAGGAGGGATTCCGCCATGACGGGGAGGACGGAGAGGTCGTGACTGTGCAGCAAGACTTTGCTTTCGGTCAAGGCGGCCGCCACGAGGGCGAGGACGTTCCGCGCGGAGAAGGTGCGGAGGAAGGGGGAGAGAGGGTAGCAGAGGGAAGGGAGGGCACCGGGACCGGCCAGGCGGCAGGTGATGGGGCGCCCGAGGAAGTCAAACTGTACGCCTAGGGCCCCTGGAATGGGCAAAGGGACTTCGAGCGTGAGCTGAACGATGTGGGTCCGGAGCAGGTCGGTCAAGTGGGCGCCGGGGACGGAGGCGGGGTCGAGGGGGTCCCCGAGCAGGGCGTCGTAGGTGGGGGGAAGGAGACGGTCCATGTGGTCATAGGCATGGACGAGCCAGTTCAGGAGGGGCTGCACGACCGGCACGCGCGTGAGGAGACAGAAGCACACGGGCGCCCACACCGTGGTCCCTTGTTGTTTGGGGTCCTCCTGGCCGCTGGGTCGGTCGTGCTCCTGGCTCGTGTCGCCCGTGACGCCCAGGAGGCCGACGGAGGGGGAGAGCACGTTCTTGGACAGCTGCTCCCACCGCCGGTGGAAATGCAGGCACACCCCGTAAGAGGAGACACCGGAATGCTTGATCACGAAGGTGTAGGCGAGAGGGGCTGGCTTGGGGGGGCTGGGACCGTAGGCCAGAGCCATGCCGGCCGGAAAGCAGAAAAATTGAGGGCTGTCCGGAAGGGGCTGTCCGGCCTTGTCCTCCACGGGGTGTCGGAGCAATATCGCCCCATTGTGGAGACTGGGGAGCCCCGTGGCTTCGTCGAGGCGGGGCCCCATGATGCAAAAATAGTCGACCAGGCCCGTGGGCAGCTCCTCTTGGGCAAGCTCGGCCATGCTGCTGGGGGTAGGGAGGCGTCGGGGACTGGCCCCCTCCACAGGGTCGCCGGTCCCGCCCTCCGTGCCGGGGGCACTGGAGAGCAACCCGCCTCCCGCGGAGGAAAGCATGACTTGCCGCTGCTGCTCGTCCTGTGATTGACTCTCCTGGGCGGACCGGGGCGTATCCAGGCCGGAAGCTCCCGTGGTGGAGGACGGGGAGGGATAGGTGGCTGACACACCTTCTGCCCCTATTCTCTGTGTTCGCCCCATAGTTTCGGGCCCCACAAACGCCACTGCACCTTCCCCACGTGGCGCGAAGGCAGGATCCCTGACTTGGTAGTACAATCGGAGCTTGATCGCGGCTTTGCTCACGACTCCCTTCCGGCTGGGTCTCGGCCTGCTCCTTCCCAACTCATCCTCCCGCGGCGTTTCCTGTTGGGGGAGCAGTTGATACCACTGCTCGATTGCATGCCCTTCGGGCAACCTGTTCACAGGAATGTGCACGTCACCCACAACGGAGCACTGGGCGCTCCGTCCGTCCGGCCCCGCGGACCGTCGGTGCATGTAGCATGTCACTACCACCTCCTCCCTCGAGGACACGGGCCCAAAGACAAAATCCTCGTGCCACGCCACCATGCCCGAGCTGAGGCCTGCATTGTTGTGGCTGCCCCGCCTGTCCTCTTCCGCTTGCATCGACATGATCCCGGGCATGGTCCGCCGGGGGGCGTCTCTCCCAGCACGAATCGTCACATAAGGCCATCCGTATTCTGCCCTAGACATGACCCCACTGGACTCCGCCATGCCCGCAAAAAAGCTGCGTTGCTTCCGTTCCCTTGGTCTTTCTATCAGATCGGTGGCTTCAATCACACGCACTTCCAACACACCATTCGCATCAGCAGCGCCGTTGCTCGCCCGCAGACTGGACCCGATGCTCTCTTTAACGCCAGGGCCTGCACGGTGATCCCCCTCTTGCGACTGCTCTTCCATCGTGTCGCACCCTTTTGCCAAAATGGAATGGGCCATATATGAGGGAAATGGAAGGATGCAAGACAGGCGTCGAACGAGACAAATTGGGGCGGGTCCGAGGGAACAAGAATGAGGAGGGTTGGGATTATCGCATAGGGAAAGACACGGAGTCACCGGAATTGGCCTTAAATTTCATTCACACAGCACACCATCACGCCCAGTTCTGCCTCACTAGTCCTGTCCATACGCTGGAAAGCGCGACTCATGGACGATCCTTGTGCATGCTTTCGAGCTTTCCTTCCGCTTTAGGTGATCCGGTCATTGGGGAGGGCGATATGACAGTGGAACAAGGATAAAACCCGAGGCGGTTGTCTTCCAAGCCACAAAAAAATCCCCTTTTCCTCCACATTTATAGCCACGCTGCCCTTTCCCGCCCACCAAGACACCGAGGTATACGTGACAAGAGAGACAATGCGTGGTGGGCATGCCACTTGTTCGAAGCCCGGGATTTGTGGCAGTGGCTATTGCTTATGCGACGATACGCGGTCTGTAGGCAAAAGCAACAGCAGGTGCCTTGCTTCGTTGGGCAGTGAATGACACATTTTGTGTTCATGCCCCCATGACGAGGGCAAAGAAGTATAGCACGTGGTTCATTAAGAATCATTGCTTCCCATGGAAATAGTGCTTTTGCGTTCTTGCATGTTCAGGGTTGGAAGTTAGGGGCCATAAAATGATCATGATCATGCAAAGAGCTGCGGTTCTTTCCGCACCTCTTGATTATAGCTTCGCAACCGAGCCCAAGCACCTTTAAAACAACCACATAATTACACAGGCTACAACGTGTCGAGGCACTATGGCGTCTACAAGTGATTTGGACGACCAGATCGAACGGCTACGGTACGTGAGGAGGAGTCCCACCCACCAGCAGCTCGACGCGATCTACACCCTCTCATGCTTTTCCTCGGTTCGCTACTCCTTCTAACCATTCATTTTAAAGACGCTGCGAGTACTTGAAGGAACAGGAGGTAAAATTGCTGTGTCAGAAGGCACGGGAAATACTGGTGGACGAGTCCAATGTCCAGAGGGTGGACGCCCCTGTCACCATTTGTGGCGACATTCACGGGCAATTTTATGATCTGATGGAGGTAAGTGTCTAGCAGACACAAGAAAAGATGAAGGGAGACAATGCCTTCGAAACAAGCAGGTGAATGGCGCGTGGGATGTGGCCAGGTTGAAATTTCACTCGTGATGTGTGTGTACGTGATAGATAGGGAGGAGTCTAGACCGTTTATCCTGCGCACGCCCACGAGATGTATACAATCTTCTCGTCACCCTGCCATATCCTTATCTTGCATCCTCCTGATGTTCCTTCCGCCCCTCCCGTCCCCCCTTACAATGCCCGGCAGCTGTTCAAAGTGGGCGGGGACTGCCCAGAGAGGAATTACCTCTTCCTTGGCGACTTCGTGGACCGAGGATACTACTCCGTCGAGACCTTCCTGCTCCTCCTTGCCTTGAAAGTGCGGTACCCGGAGCGGATCACCCTGATCCGGGGCAATCACGAGAGTCGTCAGATCACGCAGGTCTACGGTTTTTACGACGAATGCCTGCGCAAGTACGGCAGTGTGAACGTGTGGCGCTATTGCACTGAGATTTTCGATTACTTGAGCCTCTCGGCTATCATCAACGACAATATTTTCTGCGTGCACGGTGGTCTCAGCCCGTCCATCAACACCATCGACCAGGTGCGGGCGGAGGAAGGGAAGGAGGAAAGGGTATAGGGCGGGGTTCACGGGCACGAGCTTTACTCTGCCTGTGTTTCAAGTGTGAGAGTACAACGGGACAACACCCGCCTCAAAATTGCCCTCTCGTATCCCCTTCCTTTCCATCGTTCCGTCAGATCCGCGTGATTGACCGGAAGCAGGAGGTTCCTCATGAAGGGGCTATGTGCGACCTCATGTGGTCAGATCCTGAGGATATCAGCGGGTGGGGTCTGAGCCCGCGCGGTGCGGGCTATCAGTTTGGGGGTGACGTGGTGGAGAAATTCAACCAAACGAACGATTTGCGTTTGATCGCGCGCGCCCATCAATTGGTAGGTGGCTAAGACGTGACGACGTGAGCTGAGATCGAAGGGAACGTCGATCGCACCGACCTTCTACCTTGAAGAAGTGGCGAGAGTCAGCATAAGCTTACCAACAAGGCAGGAGTTTTCCTCCCATTCTCTGGCTTCTAACCAAACGGCACTCTTCTCTGTTATGGACAGGTCATGGAGGGGCACAAGGAAATGTTCGACAACAAACTTGTCACCATCTGGTCCGCGCCAAATTACTGCTACCGGTGTGGAAATGTGGCAGCAATATTGGAATTTGACGAGCGTTGTGTACAGTCTTTTAAAATCTTCGAGGCGGCTCCACAAGAAGTCCGTGGCATTCCGCAGAAAAATCCAGCGCCAGATTACTTCTTGTAGACTCCGAGGAGATGGAAGGTGGGATAGGCAAGAGGCAAGAGTGGGGATGGAGGCACCATCAGCATGCTTGTAAAGCCAAAGCACGACGGTGGCGCGTGCCGATCGAGTATCTTGTAAGAATAGCTACGATGCATTGATATGAACAGACGTGTCGATGGACAGAACGTGTCTGAGAAGTGTTCAGGGGAGGAGGTACATGAGAGTCGTAAGAAAATTTGTGTGGTAATTCGAGGTCCGACGTACGGTTGGACACATAGAAAAAATCAATTAATTGGCTTATATACTCGATTTAATTAATTATGTCGCTATTGTATATGGCTTGGGAAATTAAAGCTTCGAGTAGTGCGCGTTTCTCCTCATATCTCGTGCATGCTGGGAAGCCGAGGGTGGATGCCTGCTGAGTGCGAGTCGTAGAGTCTACAAAACTACGGGAATACCCAACCATCAAACGCACGCGTCGTCCAAACACCACATCCTGGCGCCCACGCGTCCACTACCTTCAACGAACCTCAGGCCTCCTCCCAAAGAGTGGTCTGCTGGTTGCAAGAGGGCTACCCTCCGGGGGGTACCGAGACGCCCCAGCCGATGATAGCTTTCAGCGGGAAACTTCTTGGGAGGATCGTCTCGCTCTTTTTTGCTTTCAAATGCAAGCGTGCCGGTGCGCAACAGGCGGGTGAGATCATTGCATGTTGGTGTCCATTTTTCGTTCATGCGACGCCCCGCACACGATACAGGTGCCATGAAGGAACGTCCACTGTCGACGCGGATCCCGGAAACCTCGTCTCCGCTCTCAGAGCGAACACTTGTGCGACATGGTCTTGGTGCGTCACCCGCATTGAAAACAAGCCCGGTGGACCAACGCCAGGCTTACACCGTGGGTTACTCCACGCCGAAATCCTACACTAAGGAAGTTTCACCGGAGTTTTTCCAACGTGTATGCGACGCGGACGACCTGTGGACGCGTACACAGGGTGCCATAGCCTTGCTTATGCTTTGGGTGGTGTGGCTTGCTGGTTCCTTCTGTGCCTTCTGGTGGCCTTATCTGGTCTTCAAAGGGTATCACAAAGCTGCCATAGCGACGGCATTAATTATGGCATATCCATACGTGGTGAAAGTCAAGCAATCACCAGCTTTCATACGCTTTATATTGTCGGGTGCTGGTTGGTTCAAGGGTGGCACTTGCCTTTACCTCGAGGAGTCGATGAAAAATGTCGAAACAAGCCAGGTGCGTGTTAGAATGCGTCGTGAAGATATCTGCGATTCCTCTTCATATTTGGGGTCACACTTTGAAGAATAAAGGAAATCGAAGGCAGCATCTGGCCTTTGGCTGCTGGAGGAGGTCTCTATTTTGCAAGCTTCCGTGCTCACACTCGTCATTGTCCTTTCCCCTCAAAACCACGCCAGTCCATCCTCCTTTGCCAGCACCCGCACGGTCTCTTCACATACGGATTCATCCAAAACGGCTCTGCGGCTCGGATCGACGCCCGCCGCCCGGAAATTTACGTCCCCACGGCCTTCCGGCACATGAAACCGAACGCAGTGGCCTTGGTGGAGCCCCTTCTTTTCAAAATCCCACTCATTCGACATTTCATCACCGCCTTTGGCTGTGCACGGCCCGCAACAAAGCATGAAATGCTGCACCTAATGTCTCTTAAAAAGCCTTTGGGGCTGTTGCCGGGCGGCTCGGAAGAGATCATCCTCAGTCACCACGGGCACGAACGCGTCTACATAAAGCACCGCAAAGGCTTCATAAAATATGCCTTGCAGCATGGGTACACCATTTGCATCGGCTATACGTTCGGTGAGGCGGATTCCTACCGGACGTTGGACTGGGCGGTTAAGTTTCGACTCTGGTATCTGCGCCGGTTCCGTGTCCCACTTTTTGCGTGTTGGGGGATCTGGTGGTGTCCGTTGCTGCCGCGGGGGCAGGTAGCTTTGGAAACGGTGGTGGGCAACCCCTTTCAACTTCCCAAGCTCGCGGATCCCAGCAAGGAGGACATCGACAAGTGGCATGGGCGATACGTGGAGTTGCTCGTCGACCTTTTCGAGCGGAATAAGGCCAAATTTGGGTACGGCGAGAGGGTGCTGGAGATCTACTAGAGGATGAAATTGCCAAGGTGTGCATATGTGTAGTCCGGGAAGTGGTGGGTACGTAGACAAATGAGAAAACGGAATGTGTGTGGTGTGCACACCTAACGTCGAGGCTCTTCATGGTACAAAGGGAGGACTAGGCGATACTCGGCATGCATGTGTCAAGATGGATCTATGCGTGTGAAGGTGCTGATACTCAATGATACAGGCCCCTCGAAAGAAGGGCCTGCACCTCGAGGTGCAAATTGGGATCGAATACATATGCGCGAGTTTGTTCATGCATTTGGGTGCGGTCTCTTGGTAGTAAAGGCATGCAAATTTCATCAAAGTAATACACAAAGTCCATTCAGTTCAGATCGAGCAAACCGTGGGCAGCATTCGCGGCATCAAAAGCGCAGAGCTTGAATTTGAGTTGCAGAATTCATGTGCATTCGGGCCAAGTAATATATCAAAACTTGTTTTCATTTGTATTGAAACGATGCTCATCTGTCTGACACCCTCTCCTCTCCATCCAAACAATACTCTGACACCACGTCCCAACGACTTCCCGGCGCCGCGGCGCTCACATATTTCACAAAACGCATCGCCTGGGTCTCCCTCAGCACCAGGCTCAACGCGTTGTGCGCTGCGGATACATTCAAGACCTGATCATCCTCCTCCGCATGCGCCTGTCGTCGGTAGCTCTCAGCGGCCTCGGCGCCATCATTCCCGACCTCCGCCTTGATGTAACAGCCGAAACCGCCCACGTCCCCCGATTCCCACAGTTCCTTTTTCGCCTTGTTGCCGTCATCCACGAAGGCAAGGGTCGCGTCCAACCGAGGGTCCTTGGTGAGAATACCGTAATGCGCCAGAGTGTAGTCAAGGCCGGGACGGAAACGCCGGGCTTCTGTCCTGACCCCGCTTGGAATTGAACCCGTCAAGCGGGCGAGGTACCGGGCAAAGGCTTCCGAGCCAAAGAGGCCACGCAAAGCCGCCATCAAATCCGTGGCCGTCTTTGCTTTTTCCACAGGGTCGCTTGAAAGACCAGTGGCCCCCAAGCGCAGGTAACGCTGTTTGTGGGGAGGGCCTATCAGCTCCCACGGCATCATCGCCAGACCAACCTCGGAGGTTGGCTTCTGCCCCCCGCCCACCCTGTCTGCCTGGTCCTGCGACCGCAACAAGCGTGCAGCTTGCATGGCCACACAGGGCAACAAGAATTCATGCAGCAGTATGCTCTTGTCAGCCTGAAAACGTGCGGCGATCTGCTCGATGGCACCCGGCGTCAGGTAGGTCGGATTGACCCACCTTGCCAAGAGGGGGTTTACAGAATCGGGCCCCGACGCGGTGCGGTGCAAGGCACGTGCCAGTCGAAGGGGTGAGAATGCTTGCGGGGTCTCGTCTTGTCGCATCTGCAGCTGGTTAAGGGAGGCCAACGCCTCGGCGCCCATGGGGGGGTCGTCGGCATGGTACCAGCCGGAAATGCTCAAACGCATCTTCTCGCTGTACACCTCCTCCACTGCGTGGAAACTCTGTCCAGGAAGGACAGTGAAAAATGCCATGGTGTTGGGTTTGGGCGGATGGTTTTGAAGAGGCACCGCCTTCGGGACGCCCAGGGAATCTCCAGAGAGGGGGTAGATCTCCAAGGCTCCTCCGTCCTCTGCTCCCCAGGTCTCATCCGGGTCCGTGAGATAAATGATGAAGGAGATACAACGCGTCCCAATCACGTCATCGTGGCAGAGCAAGTGGCAGCCTTGCGTGTACAGATTGGAGGAGCAATCGGTGCGGTCGGTCAAGGGTCGGCACCCAGTAATCTCCCGCACAAAGGCACGAAATTTCGGGGAATAAATTGCATCACGCAGGGCTAGCAATCGAGGCATCTTGCGTCTTACTTCTGGATCACTCCCGTCTAGATTTGCCAGGTCACCTGTCTGGTACAATTTGAACAAGTCGGTCTCTTTGAAGGTAGCCGCCAGGGAGGTAACCATCTCCTCGCGGAGCTCACGAAAAAACTTTGCCTCTAGCACGTCTTTCACGACACAATGCGGATAACCCGGGGCTGATGGATAGCTCTGCTTTAGTTTCGCAATGTGGGATAGATCCAGCAAGCAATCGTTGAGTGCAGTCACTGCTTCAGCGTTGGATGGTACATCGGATGAACTCTGTGAGAGTGGCGCTGAGTCTACGTCGCTTTTTTTCCTGCGCTTGCGCGACGGAGATCCGGCATCTGCCGTCTTGTCCAGTAAGATATCTGCTTGAAATTCTGCCGATACTGTCATTACAATACGATCAATAGTAGGACTGGCGTGTTGGCTTGTGGATGGAGGGGTGTACTCCTCCAGGGTCCTAGGGGGGGTGAGGAGGTGATAAGAACGAGCAAGATGTTAATTGTACCACTATGTGACTTGTCGACAAAATTTACGGGCGCTCTAGTGCGTGTCCATGGTCTCGTATCATGTCCCGTGGTTTCGTAAAGTAAAGCACGGTTCCCTGGCCAGTTGAGGACAGCATTGCCGTCCCAGCACCCCTCCCCCCTCGCGGCGGCGACTTAACATGCACCAGTACGATACTCCTGTCAGCTTCGAGGCGTGTCCCCGGGCGGAACGAGCGAGGTGTCGTCATGAAGCCTTTGTTTTTGAGGCTTTGACGTTGCTCCTCGACACGGTGTTGCGACCGGTCATGTACGGGGGGGGGGGGCGCACCATTTTTTCACTGAGGGGGCCGAGAATCGTTTAATTCTCTCGCTCGGCCATATGGATGAGACCCGCGTGCTTTGTTCTAAGGCTCAACGACGTGACACTCTTCACTCCTTTCGTAACCACATCGTGGCTACCAAACACTCATGCTCATGAGCCTGCATGCGCAGTCACAGGCTGGATCATCCATTGTGGCCGCGGGATGAGAGGTCGTTCCTCCTCGTAGCGCCTTGAAATTTCCCGCTCAAAACAAGGTTTCAATAAAGTGGCTGCCGCCTCCGACGGAGGGAGCAAAGTTGAAAATCTGTAAGCGAGGCTTCCACGGGTGCAAGCAAGGCTTTCACGGGCATCTGTACTGTGTGGTATTATGGTTACAGGCAGCCATCAACGCCGAGATGAGTCGGGGCCTGAGCTCCTATCCATGATGAACTGGGCTGCTCATTTTCGCCTGTACAGTGAGCTTGAGGCCCTGGCTTATGCAGCTCTCAACGCAGGTGTCTACCTGCAGCCCGATTCCCCCATCGGTCATCGAGTGTTTTTGGCAGGATTGGAGGACATTCTAGACAAAGCCGTGGACGAGCATGACTTCGCGGCCGTATTGGACACACTTCAAGACGCCGCAAACTGGCTCCTCAAAGCGGTGTCAAAGCAGGAGTTGTTCGACCTTCGCTTGAAAATCCGTCGGCAGATGGTCCTCTCCCCGTTGCGGAAAGTGTTCTCTGCAAACTCAGAGGTCGCCGTGCCGAGTAGGGTGGCAGACTTGGACATGGACAAGTATTGGACCCTCCTGGATGGGACCTTCCCACTGGAGACAACGCGCCGGGCATCGCTTTCCGCGGAGCGAGGCGATTCCCTGGCCAGTCCTGGGCTTCGTGAAAATTCCTACGAGAGGGTGGTGGAGGCCAAAGAACGAAAGCAGCTCTTGGATGTGCAGGATGAGACGCGCCCGGGCGGGGGAGCCGACATTCATAAGGTCCTCTACCTACTCAAGACCTACTCTCGTGAGGGTTTCACGGCCGAGGTCCGCGAATTCACCCGGCGTGTGGAAGCCAGGCTTTTAGAGCCTCCCGAGCCTCTCTCGGAAGATCTAGATGGGGGAGGGACGCCATCGGGGGCATTGGGAAACGATCCAAGGCTGCTTGCATCGGCCCCCGCCCACATTCAACGCCGCCTTGGAGACTGGACCCGTACCAGTGCGCTTGTTAGCAACGAGGCAGAGCGGGAGGCGACAGAGGTCAAACTACGCGCCCACGCGCAGATTCTCCGGTATACTCTCGAGGCAGGGCAGAGAGGTGGTCCCGGGGGGCGCCAGGAAGGGGAAAGGAAGGGCGAAGGGGCAGAAATGGGGTCGGAGGAGGAAGAAGCGGAGGCGGAGGCGGCGGAGGAGGAGGGCATGGCGGAAGGAAGAAGAAGAGGGTCATCGTCCAATCAAGGAATGGACGCGCGGCGTCTCGCGAAGAATCTGAGGCGAAGTACCAAGGTGTTGCGGGAAGGACTGAGCCAGCGGGGACTGTTGAAGATTCGCGGTACGGTTGAGGGAGGGGAGGGCATGTCGGGCGCAGAATTGGCGCCCGGGCACAAAAAGCGCCTGTACGATGCGACCCGCGCCGGTCGATCCATCACTTTTGAGGACAGTCAGTACGTGGGGGACGACAGCGATGAGGAGGGACAGCGTGCGCGCGAGAGAGAAAAGCCGGGGAATACTGCGGCTGCCACCCAGAGCAGGCAGCTTGCGCGAGAGAATCGGTTGGCCAAGGCCTCGGCAGCAGCAGCAGCACGGTTGGCAGAGCGCAGCAATGCGCTTCACCAGAGAGGAGAGCATGCACAGAACCAGGTTCCATTCCCTTTAAAAACGCGTAATCCAGGGGAGGAGTACCCTGAAGAGGACGGTGAAAAGGAGGCAGAACAGCAGGAAGAAGGTGGAAAGAGGACAGGCGAGGCAACAGGGGCGCCTTGCGGCGATACGGTCCTCGAAGCTGACGAGACAAGGCAGGGTCAGGGTCGCGGACGGGGGACGAAGGATCGAGGCGGAGAACGGAAGCGAACAGTGGCTTCGAAAAGGAAATTGCGCTTGGCCATCGACAATTCAGGGCGGAGCAAGCGCCGACAGCCCAAGACGCATCGCACGTCATGGTCCCAGGAGGAAGTGGGTGATCTGAAGCGAGCCGTGCTCCACGATGGAATGAAAGGGCGGTGGGCGGACATCCTGAACAGCCCTTCTTATACTCATCTGGACTTCAATCTGCGGACAAGTGTAGATCTGAAGGATAAGTGGAGAGGTTTGGAGCGGAAGGCGGCTTCCAAGGGGCTTACCGTCGCAGAAGTCGACTAAAATCAGAGACAAAGCAACCAGCGGACCGCTGTACAAGACGCTTACGACAAAAGTAGAGGCGTGAAGTCATGCAAAAAATGTGAAAATCCATCCGGTCGTGAAAGTCACTTCTTTTTAAATTAGGTTGCTTGACCAATCACAAGCTTTTCTTTAGACATATCTGCTCACAAGCCTGGAGCCTCCACCACTTCTCGTTGCTTTGTGGGGCCACCTTGCCTCCCACCTACGAACAAGTTTATATATCCGCTTCGTTTCAAACGAAGGGAAGTCAAACACTAGGGTGTTATCGTCTCTGAATAGGTCTGCATATGATTGCAAATTCCAAAACCGCACTGCCGTATTATAATGAAAGGTACCCGCCTCCCATCCGAGTTCTACCGAAGCTTTGCGGCCTCATTTCACACTTTTCAATCATAGGCCTGTCCACGTCGTCTTTATATAAGTCCACAGCTTCCAAAATGAGCTGCCACTACAATTTAAGTCTTTTTCGATTATTAGTAAGTGGCGACACCTCTTTCTCGTTCTTGCTCGCTTACAATACCAGGAGGACGTTGTTGTTGGCCAAAGCTTTCTCGCGGCTGCTGTTGGGTATAGATTTGTTGAGGTCGCTGACCCCCATGTGTTTGGGCTTGGGCCTGACCACGGGACCACTGCTGAGCCTTGACTTCTTCCTCCGAGGGCACAGCGGTGTAAAAATGTTTGAAGAAAGTCTCATACAACAAGGGTCCTACAACGCCAGCGATAATAGGCGCTACCCACCAGATCCAGTGGTGCGTCCATCGCCCACCGATTATGGCGGCACCGATACTTCGCGCAGGGTTGATGGAGCACCATGTGAAAGGTACAAGGAAGAGATGGGCGGCTGTCACAGCAAGCCCAATTTCCAAAGGGGCCAGGACGTTAACGTGGTCTGAACTGTAGCGGCGACGTCGGTCATAGGCCACCAAAAAGGCAAACACCACTAGTAGGGTCCCCATGATTTCGCCCAAAAGCGCTGCACGCCAACCGACATTGAGACGATTAACGCCACCGCTGACCGCACGAAAGCTCCCAGGATTCATGGCTCGTGCCATCGCAGCGCCGGCGATCGCTCCCACAATCTGGGCACCCCAATAGCACAATGCACGCAGCAATGTGATGCGGCTGTTTAACATCGTCGCTAACGTCACGGCTGGGTTCATGTGACCTCCTAGTAAAAAGAAAGTGTATATTTCATCAGCATAGGGAGAACAAGATGGGTATGAAAGGCAAGCCCAAAACTATGAAGCCACAAGCATGAAACGTGATATCAACGTATCCTCTGGACTGCACGCACCGGACACGCTGTGGAAAATCCAATTTAAGACACCGTATGACAACCCAGCTGAAAGAGCCACTCGTAGGATGCCTGTTTCGGTCAGATCGCCCTCCTGGATGCTGACCCATGTCTGTGCGAAAAGTGAAAAGAGTGCAATCACCGCTGACGAACTACAATGTTGCCGTGAACGAGCAAAATGCTTTAGGTTCATTTCGTGGTATCAGAAACACCTAGCACTATTATAATGACATACCGAAAGGAGGAAAAAGGTGAAAGCCGCGGTGGCGCTACCCTCCGCCAATACAGCGCGCCACAGCAATGGATCTCTAGGTATGTAGAAAGGTGATGTCCCACTGAGCACCGAGGTTCAAATTTGGAGAATATAGGACAGCGACCTAAGAAATCCCGCTTTCCCATTAAAAGTGATTTACTCACTCCCATTCTGTATTGTTGTAAGCCAAGCCGACCTTCCAGTCCTCCCAGAAGCCAGAAAAGCTACGAGGATACCTCTCGCGCCCGCTGCCTGCTGGAACTCCCTGTGTTTCCTGGAACTGAAACAGTAATCGAGCCAAAAGTCAAAACCGTTGACATGAAATTTTACTGGACCACTCCCGGAAGTGGTGGTGAACATGTTTCTACCCCATGCTTCGGGTACCCCTTCAACCAGGCATACCTCCTGCCCCTCATATCCGGAACAATACGCGCGGCCTTCTGTCCCACGGCCGCCATAGCCTGCTTCCTTGTGCTCCCAGCCTTCCTCCGTGTCGAGACGTGGAAGTGTACCACCCCGCTCGCCGCCCATGCCCGTTGCCGCCTTCACACGCTCCATTTTTAATATACGTCTTTAAAAACAAATCCTTCTCATTTTTATTTTTATAGAAGGGGAGAAATGATTGGTTTAACACATGCCAAGTATAATAGGGCTCAACGTCCTTTGGAAAGTCGACAAGGAACCTTCTCGGCACTGGGCACGTTATCATGTCGCCTTGACACTTGGAAAGCTTTGTGGCTATATCCTACAGCCATTTTTTCTTATTATGTGATGCATGCCAGTGTTCTGCTGCCATCACTGCTGCCGTCACAGAAATTTCTTTTTTTCTCAAAATTACGTGTCCGAAAAGATAGGTTTGCAAAATCTTCTTCGAAATCGTGTTGATGACCGGAAGAGGAGGAAGTTAACGGCGAGGGAGTGGGGTATAATGCATGGGCCGTACGTTAAATTTTATCCCCGACGTGAAGTCCGGCATTATGGAGCTGCGTCGCAATATGTTCCTTTGAGACCCTACTTTCCCAGAACAGATGTATTGAGACCCTACTTTCCCAGAACAGATGTATTTTTGGCAAGATCTTTGACATCGAATTCGCAGGGAAGCACTCTTAATAAAAGCTGCAAGCAGTGGAAGATGTCAGTGGAGCATCACGATAGCCACGCTTACATTTCCCCCTCCAGTTTAAATTCCGGAAACCTCTTGGTCCAAGCTTGAACACGTCAGTTCTGGACGACACCTTTATTCTGCAATGGCGATGCTGCTGATTAAAGGGGCGCAAAGCTGAAAGCGAATCATTTCTGCATAGTATTTTGCATCTTATGGTTCCCTTAAAAAATAGTATAGATGCATCTGCCTAGCGGCTTCTCAGAGAACAAGAAGCTCCGTGAGTCTGCCTAAGTAGTTTTATTCGAGGGGAATGGGGTTTCATACCTGAAGGCCATGACAACCTCAGTAAATTGTGTTCTACGAGAGGCAACACCACCGTCCATCTAAAATAAAAAGATGATAAAAAGATGCGAGATTGAACAAAAACGTCCGCAGGTTCTTACAATGCTTATTCTTTGCCATTTAGTGGCGTTGTGAGTTTCGCCAAATCAATTTTTGGTGGATCTGCTGGTCTGTACAAAAGATATGTATGACCTATGACCTGCACAAGCTCTGCTTTCACTGCCTCTGCCATAAGTAATCCGACGGCTTTGGCCTCTTTCTTCTTTTGAGCGAAAAGAACGCGAACATTAATCTGCATATCATGAGAACAGCATGGTGTGAGATATTTTTATAAATAATCGAACTAAGAAAGAACCATCTGTTACTCATATACTCTCATTTACTGCGATGGCTTACCAGCTCATGTGCCCGCAGGGCCGATTCTACCTCAATGCAAAAGCCTTCGATTGGAGGAGACTCTGATTGTTGCATCGTAAAAAGAGATTTGTTTGCCTTTTTACGTCCTGCGTGGACAGTTTGGAACATATTGTAATGATAAGCAGCAAAATTCAAGGTACATCGACTCACAGAGGGATGGAAGGTCGCATGAAAAAAGATAGTCATCAAGTGATCACTCCTGAAGACATTATCGCCATATTACACGTTACTTCACGAGACACGAGTGAGGACCGCAATTAGAGCGCTGGTAAGGACTCTCGCATGACGGAGATACTATGCTAGCGACACACAGACGCACCTGCCAGTGCCCTGAGGGCACGTCGATGCTTGCCTTTGAATGCTGGCAGGGACTCAGACGTTGGCTCACTTGTTGACATGCTGGTGCTAATTTCGTCAATCTCACCATCACTCTCCTCTCCATCATCGATTTCACTGCCGTCAAAGTTGGATCCCAGTGCGGCCAAGGCCCGGGAGGTTAAAGGCGGAAGAAAAGCAAGAGCACACTGCCGACCTACATCATATGGGAGGACGTAAATTAGGCGGCTTCGCACAGATTTTTTTAAAAATTGAGTATGCCACTCCACGTAGCACACATACATACCTGACAACTGCAACGTGAATGCTTCCCATCTACCTGATGTCGCAGGTCGCCCCGCTCGCAAGAAAAAGCTGGTACCGCTTTCCATCCATAGCCACCAGACAAACAGCAATCGGTGTGAAAACAGACCCATGATATTTTGACTGTATAATTAAGTAATTGAATGATGCGTATGCGTGAATGTGTGAAAAACATCGAGAGTTCAGGCAAGAAATAGGGGGATAGAACAGAGGAGTGGTTGAATGCGCGAGAGGGCCGATGAGCAGCCTGAGCCTTCGGAAGCTTTACCCGCTTTTTTGGGCACGAAATGCGACCATAGAGCCTCCGATGTCTCATACAGTCTACCCTATGTATCATGCGGCCGAGGTGGACATATCCCTATGCACCAAGTGTAAAATTTTGTGCTTCTCGACGGGGGGAGTTTCCCAGCGTCATCAAGGCTCTGGGATCGTCATCGGACTAGCCCTCCGGCGTCTTTTGACCCTCGCTCATCATTGCCACCCGTTCCTTCCTACGCGCTACAGTTTGTTCCCGTAGCAGTAGAGGTGATTTCTTGCCTGCCATGTCGGAGGAGGAGGTGGTCACCGGCGACGAGGCTCCTTCGGGCTCGGGACACAGAATTAAGATCAAAATGACGAACGAAGGCCGTGTCCTAGAAGAAAAAGGTCCCTCAAAAGGGATCTCTCCTCTCTCCCCTCTCCCGCCTCCGCATGAAGGCCCAGCTGGAGGCAGCGTGGATGGGAAGCATGAGCTAAACAAGGTGGAAACAGCCCCCGAAACCTCGTCTGGAATGTACGTGCGCGGAGGGGAGGGACAGAAGACTGAGGGTATCAATGACGTTCACGTTTACCCGTTCCATCACATGCTGTAATCAAATCACCTCTTAGACGAATATTTCCTGCTTTCATTTAAGCATTGAACAGAATGATTTTGGACGGAATTTGTTGAGGAGAAAATCAGATGCTTGCCTGTGGGATAGGCATCATAGTTCACAAACCATTGTTCTGGCATTCCCTGTCGGCTCAACGCATTCCACCCCTAGTCAACTTCCTTCACTTTGTTACGTCGCATGAGCCATATACAGACATGCCATTTACCTCATTACAGCTCTCCCACAATCCCCTCTCCCCCCAGACCTGCTTCTTCCCCCGGAACAGAGCCAGCCGGCAGCACGCTGTCACTACCATTGGGCCGAGCAGATATCGAGCACAGCATTTCCTCGGAGACTGCGGAGGGAAGAAACGAAGGAAGGCCCCTGTGTGCGGAGACCTTGGCGTCACCCGAGAGCACGCCCGCTTCGACGGCCCCCCCCAAGAAGAAGACCAGCAAGGCCAAAAGGCAGCGCGCTCCTGGCCCCGGAACAGCTCCCGTCGAGCCTACATCCCTCCCTGTGGCCGACGTGGAAACACAGCAGGTGACCGAGGAATCCTCCTCCGGCCCTTCCCCTTCCTGTGCTCCGCCCTCCGCCCCCCCCCCCGGAAGCCATGGCCACCTCCGGAGGCAACAGCCCCGACACGGGCAGCAGGGGTGAGGACAACGCCGGCGGTGGTAGCGACCGAAGGAAAGGCTTGGCTCGTAGCGGACTGGTGTGTCAGCACGATTCTCAGTGCATGGAGCCCCGCACGACCAAGGACCGAGGGGGGGGATTGCACGTTTTCTGCGCCCGACACAAAGAGGAGAAACAGAAAGCCTGGAGGGAGGCGGCGATGCGCTACCGGCAGCGGAAGCGTTTGGAGGTGTATTGGGAGCAAGGCAGGGGCGAGGCGGAAGAGAAAGGGCAGGGGGAGGGTGCGTTCCAGCATGGGAATGGCAACAAACGACTGGGAGGCCCCCCACCACCGGAGTACCCCCCCCCCTCCACCGCCCACGCCCAGGACGGAGGTGTCCAGCACCAGCCGTTCGCCCCCCGGCTTTGGGGGCAACGGGCACCCCTTGCCTCCCTCCCTCCCTCCTTGGGCCCCGCGTCCCTCCCTCTGAAAGTTCCCACGCCGACGGCGTCGGTCAGGGAGAAGGTCTCGCTCGCTCGCAGTCCGTGCAGGAGGTAGCCGTCACCGGGCAACCTCCCCCTCCGCCCTCCCTCCCTCCATTGGCACGCACAGGCTCGCCCCGCGACCCTGCCCCCGCGCACGCGCCTTCCGCCGTTCTCCCTCCGGCCTCGGCCATTCCCCCCGGGAGTTGGCCGTTTTTCTGGTGCCAACGGGAAATGATGCGGTACGTGGCAATGGAGACCCGCCAGGCGATCAAACGCGACTTTGACGATTTCTCGCAGGGCCGCCCCAGCTTTCGGTCCTTTGCCATCCAGCACCGGTTGAGCTATGAGCTGAACGCCGCGCCCCGTCGGTGTCGGGTGAAACCCTTGATGGGGGGCCTCTTAGGGGTGCGCCTTTACGAATTGGAGAGCTTCGCCTGGTTCGCGCCCCTGTTGGATTTCTTGGCGGCGCAATGGTGGGAGGTGGCCGTGATCATGTTCTGCGAGGAGGTCCGGCGGGAGGAAGGGGCTCAGGAGCGGGGGAGGTTGGAGGCGTACCTGAAGGAAGCAGGGAAGAGCCTGGCGCGGCGGCGGGCGGTCATGACGTCCTTGATTGGTTCGGTGCATCTCCGGAGTTACGACCAGGCGGAGACGCAGGTGGGCCGGCTGGGTCCTCGGTACGGGCATCTGATGATGGTTTTGAATATCCATGGGAACGGAGAATTGGTGTTTCGGAGGGTGAGGGAGAGGAGGAAAGGGAGGGGCACGGAGGGGGATGGGGGAGGAGGGGGGAGGAGGGGGGCAAGGGGGGGAACGAAAGGAAGGGAGGAAGGGAAGGACGGAAGCCGTGTGGAGGACGGGGAAGGAAAGGAGGGCGAGGAGGAAAGGGGCGTGTTGGAGGCAGGAGGACAGGGGGGGGGGCGAAGAAAAGAGGGAGGGAGAAGGTGAGAAGGAGGGGGAGAAGGAAGAAGTGGAGGAAGAGGAAGTGCTGCGCCTCCCCTTGAAATCGGGCGACGTGTACTGCTACACAGGAAAGTATCGGTATGGGTGTGCGGAGCGTGTGGAATTGAATGCGAAAGCCTCGCCATACCGATGTTTTATCGCCTTCCGGTTCTGGATACCCGGGCGGGAGTGGCTGGTTCGGATGAGTAAGGCGGAGGGGGCGAGTGAGGGAGGGGCGGACGGCAGGTTTGTCGGCTGGCGGAAATTGGAGAAGGAAGACAAAGAGAGAGACACCAGGTGGGGTCAAGGGAATAAAACTGCGGCTCGCCCCAGCTACGCCGGCTTGAGTCGCGTGCTGTCCGAGGCCGACGGAGGAGGGGGGGAGGGCGGGAAGGGGAAAGGGAAGGGCAAAGGGAAAGGGAAGGAAGGACAGGGCGAGTCGAGGGCCGAGAAGGGGAAGGAAACGGCTGATAGGGAACGAGGGGGAGCGATGGAGGTGGAGGAGACATCGGTACCGGAGCCATGTGCTGCCTTAGGCAAGGAAGTTGAGAGACAAGGCGATGTGGAGGAGGAGAGGGAGGGAGAGGGAGCGACGGAGATGGTGGCGATGCAAGTGTAGGAGGGGAGGAAGGGGAAGAGAGGCGAGAGCAGGGAGGAAATGATGGCCGGGGGGGAAGGAGGAAGGGCATGAGGAAGGACAAAAACGGGGGGAGGGAGGAATGGATCCTGTTTCTCTCGACGGGAAGGAAGAGAGGGTTGGTCGAGCGCAGTGCCCAGAAAGAAAGAGGGAGCAACGTAAGGGAGGGAGGAAGGGATGAAGGACGAGTGAGAGCACGTGACTCTACTGTTACAAAAGGCCCGGACCTGGCGCGCCTCCCCAAAGAGATATACATACTATACAGGGGGGGCGGTGGCGGATGTTCAAATGCCAGGGGGTGCACGGAAAATACAAAGGAAAGCAACATGCGGCGTGTGCGTGAAGGGGAGGCAAGGGGAGACCCTCTGGTTTCCACCCGGTCTCGCGGCGGTCTCGCGGGCTGCGTGCCCACGGCCCACACGTGGTGCTGTCAATGCTCTACCTCGCTCACCCCTTCGGGAACATACTTCTCTTTCTACCAGCCGGACCGGACTGATGAATTTTTGATGGCTTCGGCAAGCTTTTTCACCCTATATGGCCCAACAACGCGGCGCGCATTGCTCTGAGCTTGGGCTCTGTGTTATCACACCCGCTCCAAGCACGCTGCATTGGAAGCTGTACCTCTGTTACCCCTTTCACTTCTCACCACTCTATCGCATCCTATCCTCCGCCCTTCCCCGCCTCCCGCGGTAACAGGGCCTTTTCACACACTCCAAGACCTCAGCGAGGTTTTTCCCGTCCATCGTAGGCCCGGTGCCTTCAGATCTTCTGTTTCTCTTATCTTCCCTCCCCACGCGCCTCCAACTTTTGCCCACCTCTCCCTCACCCCCCGTCCCTTCACGCATCCTTCATCGGCGCTCTGTCACGGTAGAGATAGTACTGCGCTACTAGCGCCCCATTGAAAATGAACGCCGCCACACAACTAAGGAGGTATAGAGTATTTTGAAGCTGGACCATGGTTGTGAAGATGCGGGCCACGTTGCCGACGGCCTGGAGGATCAAGGTGGATGGCGCAAGCTCTCCCGTGCTCTTGTTGCGGTAGTTGAGAAGGAGCTGTGGCACTCGACTGAAATTCAAGAGAGGGATCGAGACGGTCTGAAGAATCGATACAAGTAGCATCGGGGCGAGGGGGCTAATTGTGTACGCAAAAAATAGCGAAGCAAGGAGGAGGGAAAGGGCAAGGATGGGAGGACTGGGCTCATCCGAGTACAGGGAGATACCAGCCATGATCACGACGTTCTGCAGCACAATGAAGACGGTCTCGCCGTAGGTGGAGAATGGGAAGGCGTTTCGGATGGAAAAAGCCAGCGACATGGCTATTCCTATGGTTTCCAGGATGTACATGGAAGATGAAAGGCCTGCAGCCGATTTCTTGCGAAAAATGCGCGCGGCCTGGGGGAGCTTGAAGAGCATCGAGCCAGCAATGACGACATACCCAGTGGTTCTGCTCAAGAGAGTGAGGAAGTCGAAGCCCTTGCCAGGGGCGGCGGGGATCGCTACACCACCTCGGCGAAATAAAATTGGTGCAATGGAGGAAATAGATGAAGGAGCGGCAGCTAAGGAGGAGGATGGGAGAGGGCGGTTCGAGACAGGCATCCCTGTTCCGACATTCAAGACGTGATGATGTGGCGCGGAGCAAAGCGAGGCCAGCATGGGAGTTTTCCAAGGTCGTAGCCCACCATGGATTGTAGATTTAAAAACATTTTGTGGGCCTGTGGCAAAAGCACGGGTAGTGCTGCTAACAGCCAGGGCCACCAAAGCCAAACCAAAGATTCGAGCCATTGAACAGGCCACGGGCGTAATCGTGCAACAACCAAAGCCAAACCGACTGTCTCCGACTATTGCAAGGCTGTGAAAAAAAATTGGCGGATTTTCAATGAGAAGCCCTTTCATCCCCGGCTGCGCACGATTTTTCAATTCAATAACATTGATGGGCAGTTGCCAGGTCAAGTGAAAGTGTTGAAGGGTTCTGGCGATGACGTACCAGCCATCCCTCTCCTCCAAGCGTGTGCCCCGCCCGTCGTCCCGCCTCGACCACCCCGCGGTCAGCCAGGCAAAATAGGAGGGGCCACTCTCATACATGCCACGGTACTTTCAGGCTGCATGGCTGCGATATCATGTTGGCCGGGGTATGTACTTCGGCCTACGTGCGGACATACTGTCTCGTTTGGCAGGGTCCCTCCGGGGCACTACTGTGGCTTCTGCGCCTTGCCCCAGCCTTTATCGCGGGGCGCTAGCCCTGGCACTTTCCACATTAATACATTGGAGGAGACTGCGGCTAGATGTGAATCATGCCTATGTATTTTATTTCGTGACAAACGTTATTTCCTCTCTTGGCAAGGTTTTACAAGGATGGTGTCTCCTAGTGTGTCACCAGGCGGATACTTTGGAAGGACCCCTAAACTGGACGTCCGAAGCGTTCTGTCCCCTCCCCCGCTCGATAAAGAGCTAACTATCACCTTGCGTTACCCACTCGAAGAAGTAGAAGTTACGGACAAAATTTGCATTGCTTCAAGACGCGACTGACTTTCCATCCCTCACGCTATCCGGCCTCTTCCCCTCCAACTCTTGCAGCGAGTCGCAAGGCCTCATGACGCTGTGGACGAGTCCCGTCCCCATGCACATGGCAGGCAAGCAGGTGACAGCACCGCGCATGGAGACCGCGGTTCAAGACGGGGAGCCTTCCAACACAGTGTCGGTAGTACTCGCTTCCGGCGCAGGCGATGGGGCGGGTAGCAACCTGGGCAGCGGTGCATCGAACAATTTTACTCACAGCAACAGCAGTGCGAGCGGCAGTACGACCAGTACTGCTCCCCACCAACGACGACAAACACTAGCTAATGTCCCATCTGCCGCCGAAGTGCATGGTAGGCAGGAGAAGTGGCTGGAATTTGCACCAACTTCTCCCCAGCGCCGTGCTTCCTTTGTGGACGAGCCGGGAGTTGTGGATGGGAACCCCTTTGAGATCTTTAAGGAGCCTGCGCGGGCTGACCATTTTGGAAGTCAAAGTTTTTACGAAGCAGGGGCATCCTACTCGGCGAAGCAACATGCCCCGCCTCCTTCTGCAGCATCCTCGGTAGTGTCCCGCCCTGCCTCGGCGACTCGCCTGACTGCGTCGTCCATCCCACTGGGCCCGGAGAGGCTTGACTCGAGCTACCGCCCTTCTTCCAGCACAGGCAATCCATTCTGCGAAGCTCCTTTGAGCCCGATTCGCTACAACAAGCCCATTGCCAAGGTGGAGCTCTCCCCTCAGAGCACCGCCTTGTCGGCCGTGGCGTTCTCAGCGCTTGACCCTCTGAAACGCACAGAATCGCCGACCGCATCTGTGCCCTTGGACCAGCTCAAAATCTCGGCCTACAACCGGGAACAGGAGGTGCTGGCGGCGGCAAAGGCTGCAGAAGAGCAAGGGAAGCAGTTTCAGGAGCCAGAACACTACAGACGACAACTGCAGCTGCAGCAGCCACAGCCCACAGCACATTTCCAACAGGACTTGCCACAGCCACAAGGACAGGCGGAACAACCACACCCACAGCAAGGGGACTGGAGCGCGTGGTCCATGCAGCAAGGTGTGCTTCAGGCCGCCAGCCAAGCCCAGCCTGCGTCGTCCACGGAATGGGATGCTTTCGGTGCTTCTCCGACGGTCTTCCCGCAAAAGGCACCGCCCTCGCAGCCGACCTTCGACAACAACTTTGGGTGGCAATCCAT